AAATACACTAATAACTCAATACATACCCTGGTTATTTTATTTATTATTATTACTTTTAGCATTATCAAAAGAGCCAGTGCCGTGTTCAGTGAGCACTTGGGTTATTCTTTCTTTATGTTGTTAACACCTTGTAAATAAATCATTCTTCGATGGAAGCTCATTTCTTTGATATTGGTTTTGCTCCCTATATAATTTATTTTCACACTATATAGTGTATGAATTTATACAATTATTTGTGGTGAGGACTTGTTTCTGTGGTGCTTCAGATGCCAGTCTGTGCTGATAAGTTTCTGGGCTGGTTGAGAGCAGTTGGAGTTTTTTAGATCATCAGCTTTGTCATAAAAGCATTACAAGAGGAATCATCAGTTCCTCCTCATCATCCTTTTGTGGCTCTTTGAAAACAATGCAGTTATCTTTGAGAGGAAATAAGTTGCAGAGTGAGACCTAGGCAAGACTCAAGACCATGGAGAGATGGTGTAAAATAATGACAGATGATATTAAAATCATATGGATAGAGTTTCATGAAACATTGTACCATAATCTACCTGTAGGGGTGTAGAGGGGGTCTAGGTTAGGTTCAAGCTTTTCCATTTAATGCTTAGTATCATAGCTTCTTATCATTCTCAGATGATAAAAATCACTAGTTCTTATAAAACATAGCTTGACAAGGCTATACCCTAGACATTTTGATTTCTAGGTTGACCCTGAGGATATCTTTGATGAACATTCTAAGCGATCTTTATTTCATGACTGGTCTGGGAAAACTTCAAGATAGATTAAAGTCAAATAGCACAGACATTAGTGTGTTCTTTGGATGTATGGGAAATTACTGAAATAAAAAGAAGGATCACTTAATAAAAAACAAGTAAAATCTGAAAAAAGAAAAAAAACCCATGAGTAGAAAAAAATTAAGCAGATATTTATGAATTTAGTGGCACGAATAATTCCCATAAATCATGTGATTGTTTTTCTTTTTGTTTTTTGTTTTTGGCATCAGGGACTGAACTCTCTGGACCTTGCGAGACAGGCAGCAGCACCACTGAGCTAAATCCCTAGCCCAGTCATGTGACTGTTAAGTAAGTGTTTCCTCTCAGGTTGCATGTATATACCTGAAGGTGCTACACAGAGGTGGGTCACAGAGAGATGCTCCCAAAGACCTTGGGAACAAGCCTGCTGCGTGAGAGCTAAAATGGTAGTTTCCACAAAGTTACTCACTCACTGAAGTCAATCACTTGTGTGAGAGAAATATCTAAGGACACTGAATATAAATATTGGAAGCAAAGTTTTAATTGGGTATTACATCAGAGAAGCAGGAATTAAATGTGATACAGTTCTGTAAGCTGTATTTTAATAAACTGTTTCTTCAATTAATAAAGAATGTTGTAGCAATAGGAGCTGTTTATTGTGGACATAGAATAATGAATAAGCAATCAAAGCACAATTTGGAATTACATACCCAGTGCCATCTTGGGAGTGAGCAACAAAAACATATTTTGAGTAGACAGAATTAAGTCCATCTTGGCTCAGGTTATTTGGGCAAGATGATTCTTGCATATGTACCTCAAATCTGAGGACTGTCTTCAGTCTTGTGGAGACCCAACCAGGATTAGCAAACCACATTATTGGAATACAACTTCTTGTATTCTGGCACCAGCACTTCCTAGCTCATCCACATCTTTAAAAAATACTTATAGAAAAAAAAATGAAAAAGAAAATGCGTTGGGCTGATGGGAAATAAAACTTTCATTTCAATTTTTGTATGCTTTATTTTAATCTATATAAGCAAATGACCTCCTGTGTATGCTTAGTGTTCGTGATTACTTGGAATTAATGTTTTTCTATGTTGGTGTACAAATCAGGGAGATAATAGGTTTAATACACTTTTTTTCCACTTTAATTGAGTTTATTGGTACATTTTAGGGATACAGTACAGTTACATTCATTATTGGGATCTTGTACCTCTACATGACAGGTCTTGGTTCTCATTTTTTCCCCTTGTCTCTGCCCTCCCTTCACACCCTCCTCCCCTCCCCATCTACAGCCACTTTATTTCCATCTTTTCATTCTCTCACATTTTTTTCTTTTCCCTTTTTACCCTTCACCTACCCATCCCACCTTCCCTACACCTTTAGCTCATTTCTTCCAACTTTTTTTCCTCTTCAAATACCAGTACCACCTTTAGGTCACTGTGATCTAATAGTGGAATGTATAAGTCAGGATGCAAATAAAAATAACTGCATTGTTTTTGTTCCTTATGCTTTGTTACCTTGGGAATGATTTTGAGTTAATAGAGCTGGGCATCATATAGGAGAGAGAAAAGTTTTCTCATGTATACTAAGGGCAATTGGATGAAGATCACCAACAGAGTTCATACTTCAATTGTTTTTCTTCTACGTGGTTCCTTCCTTTCGAGTTCTGCCTTGCTCAGCCTGAGACCTACTATGACAAGCATTTCAATTCTCTCTCCTTCCCTAAACCAAAGGCTCAAAGGATTATTTCTACAGTAGCGATAAGTATGTTTTTAGTAGGATAAAGCCATCATCCACATAAATTCTGGGAAGCTTCTCTTCATACTTCAATTGTTTTTCTTCTACGTGGTTCCTTCCTTTCGAGTTCTGCCTTGCTCAGCCTGAGACCTACTATGACAAGCATTTCAATTCTCTCTCCTTCCCTAAACCAAAGGCTCAAAGGATTATTTCTACAGTAGCGATAAGTATGTTTTTAGTAGGATAAAGCCATCATCCACATAAATTCTGGGAAGCTTCTCTCACATTATGATGAAATTATAATTTATATAATTTTGCACACATATGTTAAATATATTCATGACTTTCTCTATAGTGTTTACATTAACAGTAACTGTAATTACTACAGGGTAGGGATCTTTACTTCTTCAATCTTAATCGGTCAATTCAGTATGCTTTAAGAAAAATAATAACATTTGGGATGGTAGTGTTGACGAATTCACCAAGACATAAAGGTACAGTATGAGAGCATTGTGATCTTAAACTCACAGATACTTTAAGATCTTCAGTTTGTCACTTTCTACTCTACCTCATACATAGGATTGTAATGTTACACTTATGATATTTTGCACATGTACAGATAATTATTCATAACCACATACACATCCCAAATAAACAAATTATTTCTCATCAATCTAGAATAATATTTTTTCACATTTCAATGTTATTGAAATTATGAGGAATTCTTAATCGATGGTGTTTTCTGGTTTTGAAAAAAAAATATATATATATAATTAATTTAAAAATAAAGATTTCTTCTTAAATTCAAAGACAATTGCATATTATTGAGAACTAATTGTTTCAAAATTTACTGGGCTCAAAATTCCACATTCTTGTTATGTTGGCTATTTTCATGGAATGCCACTACTGTACTCTACACTCATCTAGCAAGTCACATATAAAACAATGAGCAATTGTCTAATTTTAGTATTAACTATTTTCCTGGACCAAAGTTCTTTGTAAATGGTTCATTAATACAGAAAACATGGGTGACTGCCCAATGAAATTGAGTATTTTCCAGAGTTTTAGTTTATATTGTTATTATGCAATTTTCCAGATAATGTTGGAGACTGTTGAAATGAGTATGTATATTCTAACAACGTTTGAGGGTGGAACTTAAGACAGTACTAAAAGGATTTTTTTTTCAGCTTTAATTGAGTTTATTGGTACATTTTAGGGATATACAGTTACATTCATTGTTGGGATCTTGTACCTCTACATGACAAGTCTTGATTCTCATTTTTTCCCCTTACCTCTGCCCTCCCTTCACCCCCTCCTCCCCTACCCATCTACAAACACTTTATTTCCATCTTTTCATTCTCTCACATTTTTTTCTTTTCCCTTTTTACTCTTCCCCTACCCATCCCACCTTCCCTACACCTTTAGATCCTTTCTACCCATTTTTAAATGTCAGTAATCTTATTAGAATCTTAGACATTGTTGCAGATTATTCACACCAGGTAAACTATTCGGTATTTACACATGTGTGACTTATTTACTTTATTTCCATCTTTTCATTCTCTCACATTTTTTTCTTTTCCCTTTTTACTCTTCCCCTACCCATCCCACCTTCCCTACACCTTTAGATCCTTTCTACCCATTTTTAAATGTCAGTAATCTTATTAGAATCTTAGACATTGTTGCAGATTATTCACACCAGGTAAACTATTCGGTATTTACACATGTGTGACTTATTTATTTCACTTAGGAGTATATCTTCAATATGTATCCATTTTCCTATGAATGAATCTATTTTCTCGTTCTTTATGGCTGAGTAATATTCCATTTTATAGAAAAACCACAACTTCTTTATCCAGTTTCCAACGGATGGGCAAATAGGCTGTTTCCAATATTTAGCTATTACAAACTGTGCTGCTATAAACATGGGTGCACATACTTCTCTGTGATATGATTCTTTTAGTTCTCTTGGAAAGATACCCAGCAGAGGGATGGCTGGGTCAAATGGAACCTCCAGTCCAAGCTCTTTGAGGTATCTCCATATTGATTTCCATAGTGGTTGCACTAGTCTGCACTCCCACCAACAATGGAAAAGGGTTCCTTTCTCCCCACAACCCCGCCAACATTTGTTATTGTGTGATTTCTTGATAGCAGCCATTCTTTGTGGGGTGAGGTGGAATCTCAGTGTTGTTTTCATCTGCATCTCTCAAATGACCAGTGATGTGGAACATTTTTTCATATATTTTCTTGCTGCTTTTACTTCTTTGTCTGAGAAATGTCTGTTCATTTCGGATGCCCATTTTTGAATTGGATCTTTATATTTGGGGGACTGATTGTTTTGAGTTCTTTATATATCCTTGATAATAGTCCTTTGTCTGAGGAACAGCTGGTAAAATTTTTTTCCCACATTGTAGATTGTCTCTTAGTTCTGCTGATGGTTTCTTTTGAAGTACAGAAGCTTTTTAGTAAGATGAGATCCCAGTTGTTGATTCTATCTGCTAGTTCCCGTGCTACTGACTAAAAGGATTTTTTAATCAGCACATTTTTCACAGCCAGTTTTACCTCTTTGTTCTATAAACTATAGATAATAGGATTCAACGTGGAGGCGAATGCAGCATATACCAAAACCATAAATTTATCTGTTTCCTGTGGATTCACTTCTGAGGGCTTCAGGTAACATGGAGAGAGCTGTCCCACAGAATAGAACCACAATGGTCAGGTGGGCTGTACATGTCGAAAAGGCTTTAATTTGCCATCTACTGAGCAGACTCTCTGGATGCTGGAGAGAATAAAGGCATAGGAGATATAAATGAGTAGCATCGGCATGGGCAGAAGAAACACACTGATCACTGTGCCGTGGAAGTGGCTACTAGTTTCAAGATCAACAGAATTTCACACATGAAATGATTGATGATGCTGTTTCCACAGAAAGACAGCTGCAGTACAGCCACTGTCTCCACCAGGGCTGTGAGGTATCCTGTCACCCAGGGGCCAACAGCAATCTGCACACAGACACTCCTGTTCATAATGATAGGGTTTCTCAGGGGGTAGAAGATGGCCACATACAGATTGTTGGCCATCATAGAGAGGAGCACACACTCAGTGGAGCGCATGGCAAGAGAGAAGTACATCTGAGAAGCACATCCTGAGAATGAGATGCTGTTTCTCCCAGAAAATTTCCTACTGCTGCAGTGAGAACGGAAGAGGTATACCAGATGTCCAGAAAGGAGAGGTTGCTGAGGAAGAAGTACGTAGGGGTGTGCAGGTGGAAATCCGGGGTGGTGACGGAGATCAGAATTATGTTGCCCAGCAAGGCAAACAGGTACATTAGCAGACACAGCATAAATACAATGACCTCAAATTTGGGGTAGTGGGAAAGTCCCAGGAAGATAGAAATTGTTATAAATGTCCAATTTGCCTGGAACATTTTATTATGTTTATTATGTTATGTTCACCTACGTATGAATAGATGGATTAGTATTGGATGTTACACATATTGAACAAGTGACTCCCTCTTCACATTTTGCAGCATATTTTTCCTTCATATTAATTTATTTTATGTGCTTATATGATTCTCTAGGTTAGTGATAGTGTTACTAATGTCATTAGTAGAATTTAAGTGGGAAATCAACAGATAAATCCTCAAATTGTTATTTTATTACAAGATTTTCTTTTTCAACAGTGTCAAGGTGGGTGGACTGGTATAGGGTTTATTTAGTAAGCGTTGAAGACAAATAAAAACTCAGTTTTGCTTTCTTTGTTTTTCTAAGACTACCTTTCTGATTGACTGTTCTGTCATCTGTTTACCTTTGAGCCAATGAAGTTAATTTCTTCCACTAGTTTGGTAATAGTCTTCTCACTTAGGAAAAGTTCTGCTTCCAAAGTTCATACTTTTTTCCACCACTTCTACAGACAGGCCCAAAGTTATTTGGGAGCCTCATGGAGTAGCCAACAAGTGTAGATTTCTGCAGACACAAATTCATTAACTTGAACACTTAGAAACAAGCCATGATTTCCCTTTCAACCCCAGAAATAGGGCTGTAGGTGTTCTCTGGCACACGCATGGCAGGTGTGTCTTTCATATTGCTATTGTCCTGGGATCTGTGCTGGGCAGGCATCCTCCAAAAGACCCACCACTCACTGGGCCAGGGATTTAGCTCAGCGTTTCGGTGGCCTGCCTTGCAAGTGCAAGGACTCGAGTTCGATCCCTGGCATCACAAAAAAAAATAAATAAATAAAAAAAAAATTACAAAAGACCCACCATTAAGCATGGAGGTCCATTTAAACTGCTTGTTGCTTTTGAAGTTTCCAATCAATGCAGTAAATTAAAGTTACAGATATGTTGGTACAGGATTACAAATTCTGAAACTCTAGGGATAATGTCCTATAAATCCAATTATAATCAGTAGTTTGTCTGGTCTAACTGTAGTACTATCCAGAAGTGACATCCCTGTCAACCCTGTCTTTGGAAAGGGGAGCTTTACTTGTCTCCAGATTATGCTATGAAATTAGTCAGGCTATTTAATTTAAAGGTTTTTCTTGCCCCCTGTGGTTGGCTGGTTCTGTTTTTATTTGATAGAAATTGCTGTAAAAATCACTTCTCAGCCTTTTGGCTAAGATCAAGTGTAAAAATTGCTGTAAATATTTGGTTAACATGGTGTGATCAAGAAATAAAGAGAATGTTTAAATTTTACAAATTAATAAAATAAAATACACATTGCCATTTGTTCCCCTCAAAATATTTCCCCTCACTGAAGGCACACTTGTCCCATCATTTTTTATTATAAATCATTTACTGTAATAATTATTTAAAATTGTAAACATTAATGGTATCTTTTGGTTCCCCCTTGTACATATTACATATATGTATTCTTTTGCTAAATGTCTCTATTATCACATAGCAAATATTTATTAATATAGAGTGTAGACAATCAAATAATAAGGGATAGATATTTAGTACTAATGTAATAAGAAGTCAAACGTACTTGAAAAATAATAGGAATTGATTAAGACTTGCAATTGTGATGATCGAGCCTTGTGTTGGATGAGCAAAGGAGGAGCAGAGAGACTAAAGGCACTGGTCTGGGATGTAGGAGGTAGTCTAGCCTGGAACCTGAGAGGTGGACCTGAGCAATTCCATGCTGCATTGTTTGCTGCAGCACTGAAAGCTCAGAGAAAACTTAGCTTTTCTAACACAGGGCAATGGGTATGCTAAGGTGGTATAGAGAAACTAGGAAGAGACATTAAAAATGTGTGGAAAGCTAAATTAATTGAGTTTTTTTCCAGTTGATTTTATTGGTACATTTAAAGTAAACAATACACCTGCATTGATCATTGGGATCTTGAACCTTTATATGATACAACTTGGTTCTTATTTTTCCCTATACCCCTCCCTTCCTTTCACCCTCTTTAACCGTCTCTATTTACAAAGACTTTGCTTTCATTTTTTCACATTTTTTTTTCTTTGCCCTTATTTCCTGCCCTCTCCCCTTCCCACTTCTCATTTGGCATTGTCTTGTATACTGCATTGGCATTATCATTTATTTGCAAAAACTGTCTAATTTCTTCTTCAATTTCCTCTGTGACCCATTGGTTGTTCAGGAGAGTGTTATTCAATTCGATGTGTTTGTAAAGTTCTTGTGGCTTCTTTTGCTATTTATCTCAGTTTAATTGCACTATTGTTTATATTTTTCTTCTTTGCATCATCTAGGAGCTGTTGGATTGATTTTTCATATTCCCTTACTTTTTTTAAGAGATCCCTCTTTTCATGGTCATTGACCATCATCCTGTCTTCTATAGCTGACATCCTTTCTTCAGATTGGATAGGTCTGTTATGTATACTTTTAATAGAATTTTTAATCTCTAGGATATCTGTTTGAATCCGTTGCATTCCATTTCTTTCCTATGCTGGGCATTCATGGCTTCTATCATGGCCCTGAACTCACATTTTGTGTGTGTGTGTGTGTGTGTGTGTGTGTGTGTGTGTGTGTGTGTGTTTCTGTTCTACAGTCTCTAATCATGTCTTTCATTCTGCTTATCATCTCTGTAGTTATCTCAGAAGTTATTTCTGTTTTGAATTTTTCTAGAGCCTCATTCACCTGTTTTGTTACTTTCTGTGCTATCAGTTCAGGATATCCAGGTTGTTGATTTTCAGCCTTTTCTGCCTCATTCATTCAGAATTTGCCTTTGATGAACAGGCAGCCTATGTTTGTGCTTATGCCTTGCTTGAATGTCTTCTCATTTCTATTTTTATTGTTGGTACTGTCCTTGGTTTGATTCCAGGGATAGTACTTTGATCTTCCTGTTATAGCTTGTCTTTAGGTTTTGAGTCTCTAATGACCCTAAGGCAATCTCATTTTACCAGGAAGGACAACTGATTAGATAAATTGCAACACCTTAGCCCATGTAATACAATCAGCAACACAACAGCATCAAGCACAGCTTAGAAAATGACAATTTGTGTAGTTATTAATCTATCACCTTTAACCATGCGAATTAAATCAAAATCAAGGATGGACAATGGCTTTATGATCTTCTGTGCCTCTGTAGTGTGAATTCAGGAACCAGCCCAGCCAGGAGGCCAGAGGTGTGTGTGTGGGGGGGTGCTGCAGGTGCACATGTGGCTGCACCTCTCACTGTTCCTCTGTTCCTCTCCTGAGGAACACCCAGAGGGGTGGGACTGAGGTTCCAGGCAAGCTCCACTGGATGCTCCTCTCATGGTCCTTCTTCTGAGGCCTGGGGGGTGGGGCTCAGCACTTGATTTTTAGTGAAAGCTGAGAAAGAAGTAATTGTCTTACTGATATTATTGAGGTAGAATTTATGAGACTAGAAATCTTATAAATGTAGGATTTCTGGTGCTGGCTTTGTTTTTTGTTTTTGTTTTTGTTTTGCTTTTGGTGTTTGATGCTGGAGATTGAATCCAGAGCCTTCCACTAAGCTATATTCCCCAGGACTTCTGAATTTTTAAAAATATTTTGTGTCAGGGCCTTCCCACCTTATTGAATAGCCCAGGCTGGGCTAAAATTTGGGATCCTACATCCTTAGTTTTCCAGAGAACTAGATTACAAGCATGTGCCAGCACTTCTAGCTGACATTTTAAAACAGAAATACTCCATATTCCAGTGTAATGGAGATAAAATAATTATAGCAAATTGCTACACTTAAGAATTTAAGTGACATATCCCTCATTATAGTGGATATTTCTGAATATCCTTTGAGGAAGGCCAACAGAGCAGCTGTTGCAACACCAGCAGCTGACTTCTGTACAAGAAGGCAATACACATTTTCTCACATGTGAAGGTAAAAGAGAAAATAACCTTTTACTGAAATTTTGTAATTTGCACATTTATTTGTGACTTGATTTTAGATTGAGACTTGGGAAATGAGGCCAATTTATCATTCATCTTATGTAATGGGCAGGACAATAGAGTGACCTATAAACAACTTGCACTGAAAAAGACAAAGAAAACTAATTTTAGGCAACATGTCTTTCTTTTGTTTACAAATACTTTTACTGATGCTCTAGTTAATATTCTTAGGATATTTTAGATGCTTATATTTTAGCCAAATTAAAAATAACAAAATGCCCCTTTTCTAAAAATATAACTTTTATGTTTGTTCTTTTACCCAAAAAATATTCTAAACTGAGGTTAAATTGCCACTGAATCAGGACTTACAGTTTTTTGGGTATTCTATGTAGAATATCACATCATCAGTAAATAGTGACAGTTTAACTTCTTTCTTTTCCATCTTTATTCCTTTTCTTTCTTTCTCCCGTGAAATTGCTGTGGTTAATGTTTCCAGAACTATATTGAACAGGAATGGTGATCATGGACATCCTTGTCTTATTCCTGATTTTATCATCAAGGTTTTCAGTGTTTGACCATTTAGTATGATGCTGGCTGTTGATTTTTCATAGATAACCTTTATTAGGTTGGGATAAAGACAATGTATTCCAATTTTCTGTAGGGTTTTTAATCATGAATGGGTGTTGAATTTTGTCAATTTTTTTTTTTTGCATCTATTGAAATGATCATGTGGTTTTTGTCCTTGATTCTGTTAATATAGTGTATTACATTTATTGGTTTACATATGTTGAACCAACCTTGTATCCCTGGGATAAATCCAACTTGTTCAGGTTGTATGATCTTCTTGATGACCTTCTGTATTCTGTTTGCCAGTATCTTATTGAGGATTTTTGCATCTATGTTCATTAAGGAGTTTGGCTTGTAGCTGTCTTTCTTGGTTAGGTCTTTCCCTGGTTTTGCAATCAAAGTAATACTTGCTTCCAGGAATGAATTTGGAAGTATTGTTTCCCTTTAAATTTCATTGAAGAGTTTAAAGACAGTGGTGTTAGTTCTTTAAACATCTTGTATAAATCAGCAGTGAAGCCATCAGTACCTGGGGATTTCTTGTTTGTAATGCTTT